CCCCCCCCCCCCCCCCCCCAAAAAAAAAAACAGGCAGACAAACAAACTTTTTGGCAAGCAGAGAAAAATGTGCGGGAAGCCTTGCAGTCTTGGAACATGGAGGGAAAGGCAGAGGGGGGAAAGAGCAAGGAGGAGGGGGATGAGGTGGGGCTGTTTGCAGGGGCCCTGCACTACCCCCGTTCCCTATGCCTTCCCCCCACTCATGCTCCAAGACTGCAGGGTTTTCTGTGTGCTTTTCTCTGGTTGCCTGTAATGTTTTGTCTTTTTTTTTTGGCACTGAACCAGCCAAAAGTGTGGAGCCCAGGGATGGCCCAAAACTACAACTTAATTATCCTGATTAAGCCTGGGGAAGCCATTAATCCATGCTTCGTAACACTTGGACTGATGGCTTCCCTGGGCTTAATCAGGGTAATTAACCCACAGTTTCAGGCCATGTGGCAATCTGCAGGAAGACGAGGCACAAAGGTGCCCCACCATGCTCAGCTCACAAAAATGGCAGCCTGCCCTGGCATCTGCCCGCAAAATCAGTCAGCTGCCTCCTCCAGTTCAGCACCCCCTGTTTATAGCACATTAAAATGTAGGATTTCTAACAATCCTAATATGTTAAGCTATATATATTTAGTACCTAGTTCATGTGCCTAGGAAATGTGCGTCAGATCTGCTATAAAAACTGTATTCAGTTGTAAATCAATGTGTTTTAACTGTTATAACAGCCAATGAATATACACTTTTATTTTTAAAAAAATACAATGGGAAAGTTGATTTAAATTGGGCTTGTCTGATTTAAATCAATTTGATTTAAACCAGTCCACCCTTCAGGCTATTCAAAACACCTTACAGAAGTTTAAGATTGCAAGTTTTTTGTTAAAAACTTGCAGTCTCAAAGAACAAAATCAGGTTTATTTGATGAGACCCATTTTCTATAAAACTATGCTGAGGGGCATTAATTCACAGAAAAATAGGGCTGAAAGTGATCTGAAAAGTTGGATTATCCCTATCTAAACTATTCCACACAAATGTCTCATCTGCTCTTTAAAACTTCCAGGGATGGAGACTCCACAACCTCTCTAGGTAACCTGCTTCAGTGCATAACACCACACACACACTTACAACATTCTTCCTAGTATTCAACCTAAATTTCCTTTTTTGTAATTGAAGGCTGTTACTTCTTCTGTCTCCTGCAGCCACAAGGAATACTCTATCACCATCCTCTTCTAACCACCTGCTAAGTATTTCAAGACTTATCAAGTCCCTACTCAGTCTTCTCTTCTCTAGACTAAAGAATCCCAGTTCTTCCATTCCTCATAAATGTTGCCTAGATCTCCAGTCATTTTTTGTTACTGGTCACTGAACTCTACAATTCGTCCAGGTCTTTTTTAAAATATAATGCCCAAAATGGGACACACTGCTCCAGGCAAGAACTCACTGATGCTAGTAAAAAGGAAGGTTCACCTCAACTTGCAAGCAATACAACCCAGAATGCTGCTGAGTTTTTTGTTGCTGTTGTGTTATTTTGCAACAAGGGCCCACTGCTGGCTCATATTCAGCTTGTGCTCCACTATAACCCACAGGACCTTTTCTGAAATACTGAAGCCTGGTTAATTAGATCAGTGTATAAAACTAGCATAAATTAGACAGGTGTTGTTGGGTGTCTGCACAAGCCATTAGCATGAATAATGCAATGTTTACATCCTTGTTTATGATTCAAATTATTAAAGCTCAATTAATGAAAGTTACTTAGGATGCTAACTGATCAAGTGATCACAGTGTAAACAGTGAGTTTTATCTGAAGCTCCTTCATATAGCCATAAAAAGGAAAGGGTATATGGAGTAAGAAAAAAAGATTTGGGAGCTGGGGCCTATTCCACGGTTGTTTTGGCTATTTTTTTTTTCCTGTGTCCCAAATGTATTAAATTATATTGTCATTTACTGTAATTGACTGTTCACCAGTGAATCAGCTGTATTCTTTCATTGCCAAAATCATTTTTTTTAAGTTATTGTGGTGTTCAAATGAGTTAAGCAATGCCAGCTCTTAGTTTTCCCTTGTTTTTTCTTTTTTTACTCCAGAAAAATAATAGAGCAATTATTCTGAGGCAAACAACTCGGGTACACGATGCCAGATCAGAATGTTTTTGGCACTATGGATCCTATTTGAAATCTCTTGTGAATCATGTCTGTACTCTAACAATGCTAACAGTGCTGCACACCCTGATTGAAAATCACTGGTTTAGACTGAGGGGTGTTTGGTTGTAGCCATGTTGGCCTAAGGACATAGGCAGGCAATATCTTTTATTAGACCAACTGAGTAGTTGGAAAAAAAGTTTTAGGCAAGCTTTAATGTTTAGTCACCCTTCTTCAGGCATAGGGAGTCTCTGCTGATCTGTCTCTTCTTGAGATATCACTCAAAGAACCTTGCCTGGTTTAGACTGAGTTACTCCCTTATAAAAAAAAAAATCACTTCTAATAAGTATAAAAGGACTTCAAAGTAATGACTATTCTTATCACATGTGATTATGTTTTACTTTACTGTATGTTGTTTACCTTCTCTCTAAACAACTGGGTGTTTTATCCACATATCCAATGTTTTATACACCCAGGGGTGGATCCAGGGGGTGTGCACTGGTCTTGATGCTCCACCATTCATGCTAGCCTTCACTCTGCAATTCTGCAATCTCTTAGCTGCTTATGGTAATAAAGCTCCTATTTCACAACCATGCAGTCTGTTTGTAACTTATTCCAATGAAGTCAAGTTTGTTTTTGCTTCAATCTTCAGATGAATAATACAGCCCTGGGCCCCTAGCATATTAGCAAAGCTTCTAGTTTATTTTTAACTGGAGAAAAGTAGTTTTGGTGTTAATATGTTACAATGTTCCATACCATATGTACCCTCCCCTCTTTTCAAACGTCTAGATCTGACGTCACCCCCCCAACCAAAACAAATCTGTTAACCACTTGGCCTTTAAATTGTAATCAAGTAAGGAAGCAATGGTACCTTGGATTCATAAAATGTCTTTTATCATTGGTGAAAAACATCACCCTTCTTGTGTGTACAACAGCCAAAGGCACTTGTACCTTGGCGAAATATAGAAGGTGCACGCAGGTGCACATGCACCCCGAGCGTGGCGGTGTACTCCCTGCAAAAAGGTCACCATTCTCTACCCCCGCACACCAATGAAACTGCCGCTGCCATACTCCCATTTCCAACAGTGTCGCCACCACCTGCAGGAGGTCGCCATGCCCCCCAGCCTCCAGGGGCACACAGCGTTCATACACTTATACCATGGGCATACAAAGATGGTACTGGTATAGACACAGGTACACAGGGGCAGATCCAAAGGAAGTGCAGCAGTGTGCCTGCATTCCCACCCCCACCTCTGATTAGATCTTGGGAGCTTTGAGGGCTTTTTTAAAGTCTCCAAAGCATGTAAAATTCCCCTCCTTCCCCTTCCTGCTCAGAAGCAGGTCCTATCCCGTTCCCCCTCCTCCCCCACCTACTGCTACAGATTTTCCCCTGTCCCTGGTGCGGCCAGGGAAGCCTCCCTGCTCCAGCCGGGCTGTGCAAGGATGGGTTCAGCTGGGACCAATGACAGCAGCAAAAGCGATGCGCGGGGGGTACCTCCTTCCCATGCCTACTCCTGGGGGAACTGGGTGGAACAGAGGGATACAGCCTGCCTATCTCCA